TGGGACAGAAGGAGCGGTGAGGGGCAAGAACTACTGGGTCCCCGAGGGCATCTGGGCCTCGGACAAGAGGCCGCTTAGGACTGCTTGACCTGAAGGAGGTGGACTGGCTGGAGGCTCCGGAGAGGGGGAGGGGGCGTCCCCTTCCCGGGCGTGGCCTTAGCAGACCAACGGGCCGAATTGCCTGGGGCGAGGCCGTGGAGACCCGGACTGGCGCCGGCGCCGGCTCGAAGGAGACGCCTCCGGGCAGGAGGAGGCATTTTTTTCCTCCAGGGGTCCCTATGGTAGCCCCCAGGGAGAGGGAGACAGTGATCTGAGAACTTTGTTCCCTAAGTCACCTGGAACTGCTCCCCACACACCTCCAGTCCACAGACCCAGCTCTGTGTATGAAATGGGCCCGGTGCACTAATCTCTCTGCTCTCTCCCATTGCACAGACGGAGGAGACCGAGGCTGGAGGGGGGCCTGTAGCCCAGCGAGGGGTCGAGAACAAAGAAATGTGGGGGAACTGAGACAGGTGCGGGGATAGTGGGGGGCAATTAGCATCCTCCAGCCCCTGTTCCCTCGCTGGGTCTGCAGCTCTGGGGGTAGAAGCCCAGAGGGATCCTAGGTGGGTCCCGAGCAGGGGAGAGGGCAAGGGTCCTGGCCACCCCCAGGAAGGTTGGGGGAGGGGCGGCGGGATTGACAGTCGGTAATTGGGTAACTGGAGGCGGCTTCTCCGGCCGGGCAGCCCCGCCACCGCGACGCCGGGCCCCTGACGTCACCCGATTCGCCAGGAAATGAACTTTTTAATAATCCGAGGAGGGAGGAAAGCCCTCGGTCCCCTCGGCTCGGGGGGCACCCGCCAAGGCCCAGCTCCGCCGGCGCGCCCCAGTCACCCTCTCCCAGGCCAGCTCTGGCAGCGCCAAGGGGTCGCGGGCCCGGGCTGGGGGCCTCCTCCTGCCTCTGCGTTCGGCGGTCTGGTCTATCAGTCTGCCCGAGGCCCTGGAGCAGGTAAAGGGGGCTGGGGGCGCGAGGCCGGCTCCTGCTGGGAATCCGCTCTTCTCGGACTCTCGGGGACCCATCTGCCCTGGCTGT